TCTGTATTTCATTTGCTGACTCTCTTTTGCTTTACTGTACTCTCTAATGAACACCGGGGGATTCTGTGATGCTGCATTTAGAACCTCCAGAGACTCAACATATATCTCTATATCGCCTGTTTTCATTTTCTTATTTTGCTGATTTTCAGGTCTTGGTACCACTTTGCCTATTGTGCTTAAGACACTTTCAAAAGACAAGTTCTGTATAGTTGCTATCAAATCCTTTCTCTGAAATCATTAGAAACTTTTCAATATTTTATATGATAGTTACCAAATATCACTATATAATAGCTGTATCTACATACATCTTCAGGTATAAGTAACTGCGTTGATCCATAAGAATCTCGTAATGTTATAAATTTCTTCATTCTCTGGAATTCCAGCCAACCACTTAATTTCACTTCCTCTCCGACATTCTTTAATGTCAGCTCACCACATGTGTGTGTCCTCTGGACATATCTATTGACTGGTGATACCGGTTCCTTCGTCAATGGCATTGATTTGTTACTAACTAAATTGTGTACACAAGAAATTGAAATAGCAGATTGAGCCTTTAACAGAAACTAAAATAATATACATTAAATTTCAAGTAAATCTAGATTGCTTCAGGTTATGATACCGTAATAAAAATTATTATGTAAAATATTTAGAAACTTACATTTACTTTAGGTAAATTACTTATCAATGGCCGTATGTGATATCTTGTCACAATGACATTTGTGCGGCTAAACACAATTCTACTGCCGGCAAACATTTTGTATTGTTATATTGTTGTATTACTGAAGTTTCTTCTTAAAAATTTTTCAACCTTTTAGTGTATTTTGTTTCATATGCAGTCATTCACAAAATAATTATTGTTCTTGTATTCTTCTTATCTATTGTTTACAAATTTTTAGAAATTTGCTATATTTTTATATAACAAATATATAAAATAATTACTATAGGTAATTATTTAGTTTAGTCTTCCTTGGAGTCAATGAAATTAGACTCGTTAGATGCATTTTTGTACAAATGTGACTGAAAAAAGCATCTGCCTTGCAAATTGAGATATTATATAAATATAGTTATTTTAAATATCACACAATATATAATAATTATCTTCTAACAATTATAGATAACATTGTATTTTGGACACATACATTGACTGATCATCTGATTTTGCTAAAATCTGACGAAATCTTTATAATTATCAAAACATCTTTGTTAGATATTCAAAAGATCGTTACATACCGATTACAACTTTTTCACTTTGATTATTCATGCGAATAATCTCGAATATCATTATTTGTAAATTCACGCACGTATTATGGAACACTATATTTACAACATGACATCAATGGACGGTTTTTCTCTCTTTGCCGGATCTGATCGTTCACGTGTAACTGTAGTGGCGAACTTATGTTGACATTTTTTTTTTACAAATAAGTACGACGCAAAAATACATTTGCGATAGGATCGGTTATGTATTTTAACGTGAGAGGATAATTAAAATAGAAGGTTAGTCAAACTTGACGAATTCTAATTTACGAAAAATTACGTGGCTCCCTAATCTAATTTTCTTAACCTATAAATGTCGATATTCAACTTATCCTTAATGAATTTTTGATAAAATACAACTGATGTAAATCTACAGTGAATGTAAATTCATACAGAAGATTTTTATAAAAAAAAGCTTTATTTGTAAAAAATAAAATCAATTAGCAATTTATTAACAATAACATTGTCCTAAACAAAGAGCTTTGCAAAACTGACAATGTTTATAATCTTAGAAGCTATAATAAATTTCTTTATATGAATACTTTTTATGCGTTCAAGTAATGCAATTTTTCATTTTTGCTTTGTAAAAATGAAAAATATTTTTTTAAAGATATCTCCTTTATATAAATTTTTGCACTCACTGTATCTGAAAAGAAAAGCATTTATCTGATGTATCGCTCGAATACAATCTGATTGCTTTCAGTAACAAGGATGGCGATGTCAATTTTTAATAAAAATGACTCTGTACTGCTAGTAGGAGAAGGGAACTTCTCATTCTCTGCAGCATTGTCGCGACAAAATTTGAACATAGAACTTATTGCTACATGCTACGAATTTGGTACCAATCAAGAAGCTGCAGAAAGAAATGTAGATTATCTTCGAAGCAATGGTCAGTAAATTAGAGACAAATATTATTCACAATGCCGACAATCGAATTAGCCAATCAATTATAAAGAAAGAAAGAAACCTATGCTTTTCTTTTCAGACATCTGTGTATTATTTGATGTGGATGCTACAAAGTTAAGGGAATGTCCCTCATTAAAGTCGCGACAGTTCGACAAAATCATATTTAACTTTCCCCATGCTGGTGGTAAAATGAAAATAGAAAGAAATAGGGACTTACTGAAAGACTTTTTTGTGTCGTCCGAAAGTATGATAAAAGAAAATGGTCAAATATTAGTAACACTATGCAATGGTCAAGGTGGAACGCCTATGGATGAACCTAGAAGACGTTGGGATGATTCCTGGAAAATTGTAGAAATGGCTGCACATGGAAATTTTATATTAACAAGAATAGAACCATTTTTGTGGCAATCTTTTCGGGATTATATTGTAACGGGCTATCGCAGTTTAGATAAGCAATTTCACACGGCAGGCTCATTAACACATTTTTTCACGAAGGGCAAGCTACCTATGATGCACAATATCGCACCTAATAATAAGATACACACTTTTAAATACACTGTGGATAATATTACATGGAAAAATATGATAAAAAATATCCAAGATAAATTAGATATTAAATGTATTCATCCATGTAGTTTTATATTTGATTTAACTTTGTCTACTGATCGAAATTTTAATACAGCTAATTTTTATCAGTCGCTGTATAATTATGCAGGATCTATTATTGATAATGTAGATTTGATTAATTGTTATCATTCTCCTGTTGATGAAAAAATAAAGAGGACATATAGGATAAATTACAAATCAAATTATATGCCATTATATAGGAGAAGAGTTATAGAATTACATCAAAATGTAATCGCAAATTTTGTAGAAGATAAATTTAAAGTTACCGTCTCAAGATGAACACGTAACTAGAATTATTTTGTGTATTCTGTTAAGAAATAAATCTGGATTTTATTAAAACGGTATATATTGATTTATCTCATTATTGATATTAAGCTATCCCTTTTAGATGCATCATTTTCGTCATTTGAAAAGTATCGTCGCGTGTAGCATAATTCAAAGACAAAGTTGTGAAACCGTATTGAAAGAGAACAGAATCAGGAGCGAAGTTTCAAGTAGGCTTAGAACATTATTTGCTACCGTATGCATTCATAAACAGGAATCCATAGCTAAACCTTTACGCAGTACAAAACCCAAATCGAAGAATGACACCCTGCAATATTTTGTCGATATAAGATCGGTAAGAATTATTTCATTACATTATTTCGCGAAACATTACCAGTTCTTAATTGTATGATCATTTTTCGTTAGGTGAAAACAATCGGGGGAAAGGGTGGCGATGGGCAGATATCGTTCTTACGATTGTGGGTCAATGATCGAGCTGGTCCGGATGGTGGTGACGGCGGGCACGGTGGTCATGTAATATTTGAAGTAAGATTATTATGACTAAAGCAAATCACATGAGAAATATAATCAATAAAACATAAAATTTATGCGATTACAATACTAGATGCTTTTCAGCAAGAAACACAGATTATCCAATGAATCATTACATTCTTGTTTGTCAATGTCAAATAAAGATGAAATGATCCATTGTATTATACGGATCGGCTTGCGTTAAATGGAAAGCACTCACTGTGTCATTTGTGTCTCTTGCTGGAAAACATCCATTTATGTTACATTTATGTATAACATATTAATACCAGTTTGTACAGAATACAAATGTACAGTTTTATTATGCAGACAACATCAAATATAAAGGATCTTAGACATATAGATTCAGTGATCAGAGCTGAGGATGGAGAAAAAGGTTACAGCAAGGATTGTTTCGGTAAAAATGCAGAACACAATGTGGTACAAGTGCCCGTTGGCACGATCGTGCGCGATGTAGAGGGTAAAATATTAGCCGACTTGAGCAAAGAAGGAATGATGTTTATTGCCGCGAGAGGAGGTGCCGGCGGCCATGGAAATGCCTTTTTCAAGTCGGACACTCAACAGACTCCTGAAATATGCGAATACGGCGCAATCGGGGAAAATTTGCAATATGTATTGGAAATAAGGAGTATGGCCCATATTGGATTGGTAAGTATTCTTTCAGTTATCGCTAAATTGATTTTATTATTAGCATTTAAAAACATTAATGTTCAAAAATATATATTTACTTGTATAAATACTTTAAAAATTTTTATTGTATAAAACATTTAAGAATGAAATTTATATTTGTGTTATGTTTATCAAATTTTTAGATCGGTTTACCAAATGCTGGTAAAAGTACACTTTTAAGAGCGATATCTAGAGCTAGACCAAAAATAGCGGCCTACCCCTTTACTACTTTAAAACCTCATATAGGCATAATTCAGTACGATGATTATGAACAAGTTACAGGTAATTTTTATAATATTTTATAATATTTGTATCATATAGTATAGAAATAGCGCGAATTTTCTTGCGCATTTAATCTACTTTCGTAATTTGTTTTAGTTGCCGATATGCCCGGTCTCATAGAAGATTCACATAAAAATAGAGGGCTTGGCATAACTTTTCTCAAGCACGTGGAACGTTGCGCCGCTTTAGTATTTATTTTAGACGTAACACAGAATAAACCATGGGAAATTCTGCAAACTTTAAAGTACGAAATTAGTCAGTTTAATGAAAGACTGAATGACAGGCCCCACATTATTGTAGCAAATAAAATTGATTTGCCAGATGCTGAGGTGAGCGATTAAAATTTTAAATTCTTTGAGTTTATTAGTTTCATTATTATTTCAATATATTTATGTATTATTAATTTAAGTGTCAAGAGTAATTAAAAAAGATCTTGAAGTTGATAATTTTTATAATGTAACTTGTATTTCAGGTTAATTTACAGTTACTCAGAGAACGTATAAATTTACCAATAATTCCTATCTCTGCCAAAGTAGGAACTAACATTTCTACTTTATTGAAAGAGATTAGAATATTGTACGATAATCTTAAAGTTACTACATCAGAAGAAGATACTGAACTTTCGATGTAACTTTTACATAATAAATTCGATAAAAACGTATATAAAAAAAAAACTGAATGTATCGCAATACATCATATAACTTAACATCATATAGCTTCCGTACAAAATGAAAAATTCTTTACCACACATTTCACTTGCGGCTGATTCAGGATTGTCGAAAACCACCTAGTTATATTCGAATAATGTCCTCTGTAATGTGGATCAAACATATATTCGTATAAAGGCAGCAAGGCAGTAAAAAGGGATATATCCGCAAGAGTGATCCTTTCGCCTATCAAGTACGTCCTTGTATGCATTATGTCATCTAATTTTCTCAGAGCACAAAGAAGATCCGCTTTCGAAATTTTTATATTTATTTTCGCATCTTCTGATACAGAAACAAGTGAAGGGAGTACCCAGCCATAAACCATTGGTAAGATGTGATTTTGTACGTAACTCATCCATTGCAGAACTTGACTGCATGCAAATAAATCGTCATCACGCCGTAGCTGCGAATTTGATAAAAAGAATGCAATGGCATTGCTATCGTGTAACGTAATATTTGCTGTTTCTAACATTATATCACTAGAATGTATTCTATTATCAATTTGCTTAATAGTCAAACATTTGCCGCTATATTGTGCGATTATTTGTGCTAAATAGCATTTAATATTTCCAATGTTTCCATAAAGTACTAATTTTAATGAAGATTCCGTGTTAAGTAATTGAAAAGTTTCTGAAATTTTATGAGTATTATTAGTAGTAATCTTGTCTGAAAGCAGACATAATTGCTGATAAATTAATCTAAATATACATAAATTAATAAATCAATAATCTACTAAATTAATATATCTAGTAAACTCATAAACTGTTATATTTCGTTTTCAAGTTTTCAACTGAGTTAGCATAATGCTACAGTAAAATTACAGTATCGAATTACAGTAATGTTTTTGTACTTACTTGCAATTCCAAGTTTTTGATCGGCAAACTCATTGGCTTTGCTTACTATTTCATTCAAACATACTATGTTTGAACCAGAAGCTTGTGCAGATTCGGATTTCCCACCTCCTTTGCCTTGCATCAAAGACGTAATTGCCTGAATCCATTCATTTGCCTTCAACCCTTTGGATACTGCAGACTGTGAATGAGTTCATTCTATCAGTATGACTGATCAGTTTTTACTTTTACTTTATTTTTATCTTACTTTAGGAACAGAACTGAGAGCGAATATTTTCTTGACATCATGATCTATGCTTATAAGCAAAGCACTAGTTTCTGGCGATATAGCCCTGATTTTCTTTAATGCTTGATCTAAAGCTTTCGTATTACTGTAGGCTTCCAGCACCTCGACTAAAACTTGACATCCAACTTTAGACTCTATTATAGACTGAGCAGTCTGTATAACCGTGGTAGCAACAGTTGCCTTTGCTGCCCGTTCCTTATCATCAAGAGATTTCTTTAAGTTTTTTAACGTATTGCGCATATGATCCTGTTATAACAAAACAATTATTACTGTAATAATTTATCAATTCTCTGAAATCAATATATTTTATTAAATATAATTGCCTTCCAATATGCAGGAATAAGGGCATGAGATATCTCCTCTGTTAATTCTACTATCTCTCTCACATATTCCTTAGAGTTCATTTCAGACTTATCATCTTCAATCGTTGCTTGAAATTGAGATAACTGTCGTTGTAATAGCATCCCTGTTCTTAAGGCTTTTGCTGCTTCCGGCCCAGTAAGCGCTACTATGCGTCTGATACCTTTAGCGATAGCATCTTCACTAATTATTGTAAAATTACCTATGTGGCTAGTGTAATGCAAATGCCTATGGAACAAATCGTTCGTAAATTTAAAGAAACAAGTAAGGTTTGATCTGTTTTTTTTTTTTTTAATTGAACTTCTTGTTTTTCTCTCGAATATATAGAAATATAGAGAAAAAAAAAGGAATGGTGCAAGAAGTGCAAAGAACAAACCTAAAATGTATGCTTTAAACGATACTTACGTTCCCCCACAAAATTCTACGCTGGTTTCAAGAGCAGCTGTACTCAAAGGATCCTTTTCTAAGTTTTCAACTGGTATGCCTACACTAACAACACGTACCGGATCAGGATATGTCTCTTCGAACATTGCACGCAAACCCTGAATAGTTTTTGCTATAGCTAAGTTACTTTCTTTAGCATAAATTTTCTCGTTTTCCGTTATCATGTTATTGGCTAACTGTTCCGTATCTTGTAACTGACCTCCCGTCATTGGTCCTATTGAGAAAATTTGACAGTAATAGTTAATTGTGATCTAGTTTTTAATTCGAGACTGTACCTTTGTTCGTAAAATCAAATCGAAGTCTATCAGGTGCAACTAATGATCCTTTCTGATCGGCTTTTGTTCCCAAGATCTTTCTAAGTGCATAATTCAAAACGTGCGTGGCACTGTGATTAGCCATCACAAACCGTCTACGTTCTGTATCTACATTCGTATGAACTTTATCTCTTTTTCTTAATGTACCTTCGCCCACAGTACCAATGTGTAAAACATAACCAGCTCTGATTTGAACGTTTTTTATACGAATCTCTGTAGTCTTTTAAAGCAATATTCTATAAACAATCTTGTTCTTCGTTGCACGAAATTAAAATGAAAATTAAATTTTATACCTCATCATTGACTTTCACTAAAAATCCTTCATCGTATATTTGTCCTCCTTGTTCTGCATAAAAATTCGTTCTGTCCAATAAAATTCCAACTTCTTCGCCGGAAGATACTTCATCGACGAAAGTTTTGGCGCGTCTTAGTGCGATTACAGTGCCAGTACATGGTGCAAATTCATACTCTTTATATTTAATCTCTGCTGTTACTTTATAATCATATTTAGGAGAATCATCCGTAGGTTTAATGCCTTGCTTTTGCAATTCAGTGATGGCATGGACATCCAAATTAATTTGATCATCTACACCACCAGCTTTATTTTGAGAAATTAACTGTACAGTTGAAAAAAATATTTATGAAGAATATTAAAGTAAAAAAAAGTATTTTAGCACTAAATTAATATATAATAATACAGATTAATTATTATATATTGAAATATACATATAT